TATATATATATGTTTTAGCATACGGTACTTGCTAACACATATATATGGAGTCAATTCTTCTTGAAAGCAAAATGCCTCCACTGAAAAGCCTAAATCTACTAGTCATTCACACCATGGTGAGAACTTACTAGCTTTCTCTTTACATCCAATATAAATGATGCCAACTGTTTTGATTGGGTGGGAGACAGATCACCAGAGACTAGAGCACTTCCCTGGGCTTGGTGGGAAGGGAGGGAAAGTGGGTGAGGGGAAAGAGAGAGGAGCCCAGAGGAGGAAAAGATGCCAATCACATACTCCTATTTTATAACCATTCCACCGCCACTTAAATAATTTCTTATGTACACTTCATGACTTTTTAATTTTTTTTTCTCTAGCTTAACTTTAAGCCATTCAAAGATGGAAACAAGTCCTTCTCTTCATATGAAAGTACCTAGAGTATGACAAACCCTTAACAGACACTCAATAAAGTTTTACTGAAATAATGAGTTGTGGCCCAGGGTTGTCGTCAGAAACCAGTCACAGAGAGGTTTCTGTTTGTTTACGTCTCCTGGTAACAATACACTGGCTTCCCACTAAGGCCTGGGAAGTCAAAGCTTAACAGGGCCGTTAAGACTCAGCTCCTTACACACAAAGAGCAATCAAATTCTTGAGGAAGAAAACTCCTTCGATGTTAATCAGGCCAACCTCATCCATTAAACCTACGAGGAGGCTGAGTAATAATAATAACAACAACAATAATAGCTAAAATATATTTGGTACTTATTTCGGCTCAGATACTTTCTAGCACTTTGTGTATATTAATTTACTTTATTCTCACAACAAAATATAAGGTAGCTCTATTATTATCCCTGTTTCACACATGGGAAATGAGTCGGGTGGGCCATATCAGTATGGACTAGCATTCTGAGGATGCTCTCCTCAGCTGGGCTAAAATCCAGCTGCTCACCGCGTCTGCTGTTACCATTAGAGGGGAAGTAACTTACCACAGTCATTCAAGGAGTCACTGGCCCTAAAACCTAGGAGGGCAGAGTTTACATTTCACCCATGTATCCCTCACAGCACCCAGGCAGGGTCTTGCCCATAGGAGTCTGTCAGTTGATGGATGGGAATGTTGATTGATGGACGGACTGTTGATTGACAGATGACAACCAGCCTTGTCCTGCTGCCATGTGTCAGAGTGAGTGACTTCCCCACCAGGACCCATTCCCAGGTCATTAGCTTGGTCCCCTCAAAAACACTAATAGCATTTGTTCTTTACACGGGTTTATGTGATACTCACGTTGACTCTGTCATATGCAAATGAGAGCTTGAACAGCCAATCAATTTCATTGCCTGAGTTTCTCAAAACATCCTAGAAAACACAATTACTTGGAACATCACCAGTGACTCAACCAGAAGCACAGTGATCTTCGCGGGTTCAGTGGATTTGATTCTAATGCTTTGGATGGTGTTGAGCAGAAATGATACAACCTGAGGCAGAGAACTCTAAATCTAGTAACCGGAGCTCTTCTTGGAAGAAACCATAACCTGATTCAATATTGAGAAAGTTACGCAGTCTTGAGGTTTACAGATACTTCCTTGTTCCTGACATAAAGCTGGTGGTCACATACCATGGGAAAGATGGGCCCAGGAACAAAATTCAGATGTAGATATGACACCTTAGGAGATGAAACCAAGCTCAGACAATTTCCCAGAACAAAGAGACCAGACACTTGGCAACTGCGCTGCTAATTTCATCCCCTGCAGGCAGCCCAGCAAGATAATTCAGGTCTTGATATTAATCCAGAGAGGAGCTGTTCTTGGATGAAGAGGCAAAAGCACTTATAAGCTTCTTTATTAGCTGCCGCTAATCAAACCTGAGGTAAGATTTACTGCACTTCCCTGGTGGCTCAGTGATTGAGAGTCCACCTGCCGATGCAGGGGACACGGGTTCGTGCCCCGGTCCGGGATGATCCCACATGCTACGGAGCGGCTGGGCCCGTGAGCCATGGCCGCTGAGCCTGCGTGTTCGGAGCCTGTGCTCCGCAACGGGAGAGGTCACAACAGTGAGAGGCCCACGTACCGCAAAAAAAAAAAAGACTTACTATTTTACTTACCTTAAGGCTTCCTCTTTTGCAATATTGGGTGACAATGCACATGTTGGGTGATTCTGTGCAAATACCAAAGAAGGGAACAATGTTTTCATGCCTTAATTCATACATCTGAAAATAATAATAGCTTATGATTATAATGTGTCTTCTGCCCTAGGGACAATGTTGTGTGCTTTACACACTTTCAGCTCTTTTTCACCAAGACCCTGTGAGATAAGAACTATGACTGCTCCCATTTTACAGATGAAGAAACCGATGCTCAAAAGATAAATTAATGTGTTTAAGATCACACAGCTTAGTAGTGGCAGAGCTGGGAGGTAAATCCAGGCAGTCTGCCTCCAGCAATTAAACCAGAGGCATGATCAAAGTCCCCCAAAGTAACGGGGATTAACTGAAGAAGTGGACCCCATGAACCTGACTCCCCTGCAAGGACCAGCTTCGAGGGAGACAGATACAGACACAAAGAATGAAGAGGCAGAATTAAGGCCAGGAAGAATTAAAGGCAAAGAACAGGCTAGGAGAGCTCCCAGGATGCAGGTGCCTGGGTCAGGCATAAGGGTCTGAGGTCTAAAGTCTGGGCTCTTGGCGGGTGGGGGTCATGGGCCAAGTTAAGGGAAGCAGCTTCCCACCATTGTCCTTCGGGGTGAAGGCCACCCGCACCCCAGGTGGGAACAGGGAGCTGGCAGAGGCAAGGCAGAGGGCAGCAAGGCTTTGCCGACTCCCAGGGCTGGGGGCCTCACCAGCCGGATTTCCTGCAGCACAGACGGCTTCCTGACCCAGGCTCGCGCTTGGGTCACCAACATCACAGATGGCCCCATGGTTTCCCTGGAACCGGAGACAAAGCGGAATGTTCTTTTTAACATCTTTATTGGAGTATAATTGCTTTACAATGGTGTGTTAGTTTCTGCTTTATAACAAAGTGAATCAGTTATACATATACATATGTTCCCATATCTCTTCCCTCTTGCATCTCCCTCCCTCCCACGCTCACTATCCCACCCCTCCAGGTGGTCACAAAGCACCGAGCTGATCTCCCAAAGCGGAATGTTCTTAACCCAGGCTGATCCAGAAAAAGCTACGCTCAGAAAGAGCTAGGAAGGGGGGCAGGAAGACTGGCAAGAAACCCACCTACAGAAGGGATCATGGAGCTCCTCCCTGCTCAGATCAGCCCTCGGGTGGCCCCGTGCTGTGTCCAGGATGGCTGCTCAACGCAGCAGACCTCATTTAACAGGCAGCGCAGCCCTGCGAGGCGGGGTGGGGGGGCAGGGGGTGATTAGCCCATTTCCAGATGGGATCCCTGAGGTTAGGGAACTAGTTCAAGGTCACACATCTGTAGGTAGTACCGCCAGAATTTGAACATCTGCATGCAGCCACTCTGCCCTCAGAATTACCCGGTAAAGCCCTACTGGGGCATAAAATAGCTCTCTGCCCTGCTAGTTCTCAACAAAGGAGCTTAAGTCCCCAGAAATCATCACACTAGATGAGTTACTGTTGTTCCCTCTCGACACAGGTGTGCCTCTCTGGGATGGCTGCGAAACAGGACACGATGCAGGAGCTCTCAGTAGGATGACCAAGTACTGATGAGACTATGCCTTTTATAGATGAGGAAAATTAGCACCAAGGTTAATAGCAGTTAGTAAATGAGAGTCAGGACTCAAACCCTGATTTCTCTAACCCAAAGTGTGAGTGCTGAACTGCTACCCGCACCACTCTCGTGTCTGTGCCAACATCACAATGTCGTGGTTAAGACTCTGGGGTCAGGCTGCCCAAATTCAAGTGCTGGCTTTGGCCCTTAACTAGATGTGTGACCTGATGACACAGTCATTTTCCTCAATGAGCATCTAAGGAGGTGAACTCTCTGTGTAGCACTCCCAGTGCCTCCCCAGCACCTAGAGAATATATTTTAAACAGAGGAGCCCTGTTTTTCTAGAAGAGTCTTACTCGGAAGCCTAATGTAGAAAACAATAGCTCAAGGCAGAGCTGCTGTAGTTGAAGAGGAAGGCTCAGAATTCCTCCCCACCACCTCTACCGCATTCCATCATTCACCCAAGGCCAGACCAGTGAGCCCCAGAATCCCCAGGGACACTTGAAAAATAATTTACAAATGAACCCCAATCTCCTGGTCATAGTATGTTGAAGCCTCCTTGACTTGGTACCTGCCAAGTCACCTTTTTTTCTTGAAAGTCATAATTCACTTATTCAGTGAATAGTATATGCAAAGATACCAATAAAAGGAAACATACTATAAACTACAATTTTGAAAATAAAGCCAATATAACGGGAACAAAATACACGTAACGTGAGAAGAATGTTTGATTGTTGACCCATCGTGCTTTCCTTACTTTTATAATGAACCTAAATGTCTTTAGAACAAACCTGTATACCTTGGTCTAACTTGAGTGCTTTCTAACAAGCAACAACATTCTAGAACACTTTTCTTTTGCTTTGAGATATTTAAGATTCACACATTTGTTCAAAAACATAAATTCTGATTCAGTGGTTGATCTGCATATCTTGTTATTCTCTGGATATCATGAGTAACATGGATTCCTGAACAAGTACTATATGAAATTCTAAAATTCTTGATCTTTGACATAAAATTTATTTCAGTTGTGGGTTTTTAATCACTTGAGATGAAAGCAAAATTCACCCCCTCCCTCCACCCCCCCCCAGGAACAAAGAGCTCTTATTAAAGTATAGAAACTTGGGTCTGTCTTTCTACTCTAAAGAACAATTCTCACCTTTCTGGGAAGGCAGTAAGTATCCCAGAATAATCAATAAATGCTTGCAAAGATTATATCAACAACAAAAGCAAAACAAAAAAGGAAAGAAAGAAAAGAGACTTCAAAACTTCAAGCTTAAGATATGCATAAAAATAGTCATGGCTATGTTTTCTGGAATTATGTAACTGTTATATACTTATCAAATAATTTCTTGCTTATTAAATGTGTGCCCAGCTTCACAGCCCTGAGAAGCCCTCAGCATACCCTGCGTTACTTCTCTCCCGGTCACCACTAGCGAACCCACTCTCCCCAGATGTCACCAGCAAACCCACTCTCCCCAGATGTCACCTCTTCTCTGAAGCCTTCATGATGCTGTGACATTCAATCCCTCTACCTGCGGGGTTTCTGCCTCAGCTTGTAGACACCTCCCAGAGCACTTACTTCCCTCGGAAGGCATCCACTTGTGGCGTGCCTTGCACTCTGCTTGGCCTGCAGTAGACAGGCAACACGTGTGTGTTGAGCAAATGAATTATATTGTCTTAGTTATCAGTAGTTTAAAGGAGTTAATGCGGTTTTGAAAATAACTAAATGCTCCCCAGGAGACAGCTTTAATATTTGAACAGGATGTATGGGTTCTTCTACCCACCAGGGACCAGGGCTGAAGGGAACTTTAGAAGCCATCTGATCATTTTTAAGTATTCAGAAACTGAGGCTCGGAAATTATGTTCCCAGCAAAAAAGTGGTAGTTCTAGAACCAGAACTCAGGGCCTAAGACTCTCCATTAAGAGCTCACTTTATAAATGAGTCAGCCTCCGCCCTCACAAGCTCCTAGATCAGGTCGCTTCCACGAATCACCAGCAGTGAGCAGGAAGGTGGATGTCAGGGCCAGGCGTGGCCTCACCTTGTTCTGGGACAGAATGGTGATGTCATCATAGTTGATTTGCCACCAAAGACCTTTATTTTGCCTCTGCAGTTTTTCCCTCTGTGTCCTTAAAATCAGACCTATGATGACAGCTCCCAGGTTGGTAATCAGGAGGGCTATGGTGAAAATCACAGCAGTCACACCTGGAGGGCATATCGTTACTCAGGCCCACCTAAGAGCACAAGTGAGCACATCCCGGCCCTGCCAAACAGATGGCTCAAAACCTGCCCAGGCACGGGTCCAAGTTAGGGCACACAGCGTCCACTCAGACCTGTCTTTTCCAGGAATCCTATTGGGCCCCAAGTGCGTGGTCTTCCCACACCCCTCTGGTTCCCACGGCAACTGCACTCACCTCCTCCTTATATAGAAACGTCCCTTGTAGAGAAAAAAAGGATGACTTCTAAGACCGTCACCACCTTTCATTCAATATTTACTATGTGCTCTCCTTACACTTGTTCTCAGTTGTGATCCACCTCATTCCAGGCCTGGGCTCCTAACCACCAGGCAACACTCCCTTGTCCAGACTCTACCTCCATAGAAATGGAATTCCTGAGACTCAAATCTCAGGAGCCAGGTTTCCCCAGGGCAGAGGTTCTCAACAGGGGAGGCCATGACGTTGCCTCTCCAGGGGATATTTGGCAATGTCTGGAGACATTTGGGGCTGTTAGAGCTAAAGGGTGCTGCTGGCATCTAGTGGGTGGAGGTGGAGGCTAGGGATGCTGCTAGGCCTCCTACAAGGCAAAGGACAGCCCCTTACACACAAAGATGATCTCGTCCTAAACATCAATGCTGTTGCCACTGCTGAGAAGCCCTGTTGTAAAGAGTCCTTTCCTGCTGCCTTCTCCAGGTGGCCACACTGATCTGCAAAAGCAGGCTCAGTTTCACAGAGCTCATTGGAAAATCCACAGCCACTTCTGTCTTCAGGAAGGGAACCGTGGAGAAATTCCCCATGGGTCTTAAAAAAAAAGAAGACAATTAAAGGTCAGTGCCAACTTGATTTATTCAACTTGTCTCTACCTCAGGTATAGCAGGGGCAACTGAAACACACATGCCATTTGCAAAAAGCAGGCCTTGGTCTCTTCATTCAAACAGCTGCTGACCCATCCAGTTTTCCCACCTCACCAAGATTCTTCAAACCTAGCCTACAGGTAATATAATTCATGAGAGAGCAATATCTTTTTGCTAGGTAGAATAACTGACTCGATCTTTTGTTTTAAACCATGTCACTTCTGATTTAAAAGATGAAGTGTCAATTCTCCAACGTTACTGGAGTTTCCTCCCATGTTTGATACAGACAAATCTTGTTATAGAGCATCTTGACACTTTACAGACCAAAATGTCACCCCTGCCTGGAGAACGCCTGTTCCTACAATACAGAGAACCTAGCTGGCCATGGTTGTTTTATTTCTTGGGCCAACCCATTCGGGGACATTAAAATTCCATAAGAGTAGGGGAGAGAAAAGTGTCAAGTCAAATCTGAATTGTGGGTGATGGCAGTGGCAAGTAGAAATTGAATTAAGTTTTATGTTCTCGTGTAGTTGCTCATTGGTTTATAGCTGAGAGAACAGAAACAGAGATTTTTTTTTTCCCAAGGGATTTCTGGATACTGTGAGCCCAGGACAGCATCCAGGTCCTGGTGTCCCCCTGGCTGTCTGCATGAGTTGGTTTCACTGACTGTGAACCTGACCCTGTAGGAGGCGCTGTGCTCCATCATCGCCCAGGGCCAGGGCCTCTCCCTGAGACACTGGGGCTGTGGGACCTGCCCAGCTGGAGCATATGAGGAGGCCCAGGTCCACATGGAGGTGCAGGTAGGGATGCCGTGTTATAAGTGGAACCTGAAGTGGCTGAGCCACACCTACAGTCAAGGGCAAGACCACGTTGAAGGCCCAAAGTCGATCTTTATGAGTTCAGAGAGCAGCAGACAACTTGATTATAGGAGCTGGATCCCCAGCTGGCCTCCTAGCAGAACCACCGGCCCTTCCTCTCCTCCCAGGCCTCTTCCTGTAGCATGAGCTAAGCTTGGGAAAGGCCCTGCCATACCTGATGACTTCCTGATAGCTGTCATAAAGAAGAAAAGGAAGAAAGAGGGACCCATTTGAGGATTTCTGTAGGGCATAGACCCAGTAATCCATGTGTCTTTCTCCCTGGGAGTCCACAAACACGGGGCCAGTGATTCCTGGAAAGAGAGGCACTTGCACACAGTAAAGGGAACATAGAGGAGCTTGGGGCTCAAAACGCCGGCCTGCCGAGTCATATCAGAGGAATGCCCTCCCCAGCAGTTGCTGAAAGCCACCCATGAGTCTTTTGCCCTTTCAGGGAATCTAAGATGCAGTCAAGAAGGAGAGTGGGAAAAAAAGTAGTTCAGAGGTGGTACCCTGGTGGGACTCAAGGGCCACTTGGTTCTGTTAGGCCTATGCTGGGGAGGACCATCTAGCATTAAAAAAAAAAAAAAAGTTAAGCAGTTTCCAACTAATTTCACATAAAACCCAAGATTTATGCTTTCCAAACAATCAGCTATGACCAATGGAGGCCGAATGACATGGCAGTGGTTGGCTGGGGCTGGGGACGTTGCCTCCTCCCAGCCGCTACCATCCTACTCCCCCCACATTCTCCATGCTGCCAGACCCTGGGACACGAGTTTGCAAGCTTTGTTCTCAGCATGGCCCTTCCTTCCCGGTTTTGGTTCGTGCTCAGGCATTGTGCTTAGACCTGGCCCAGGTGCATTCCTTGTTCTTGCTTAGGATGTGCCCTGCCCCCCACACAAAGGACACATCAGAGATCCCAGAGGAGTAAAGTACAGCAGTCCCACACCCCAAACTAGGACCCAAGGTCTGATCTAGGACTTATGATTTGTTCCCACTGGGGACAGGACAAAACATTAACATTCATAAGCTTCTGCTATGTGCCCAGCACTGAGGGCGGTAGTGATTTCACACATCTAGTCCCGGTTGACCCCCCAGAGGAGGCACCATCATCCACTCCTAATAAGCGAGCAGTGCTTGGAGGCACAGACCCCTTGGAGTTTCCAGAGCCAGGAAGACACAGGTCTGTTGGGACCCAAGTTCGTGGTCTTCCCACAGCCCTCGCTGCCTTGCGGTGCCCACTTGCTGGCATCCTGAATGTGGGGCTTGAGCACGGCTCCCTCCCAAAGTCTGCACAGGGAAAGGGCTGCAGCAAATGCAACAACCAGCGTTGAACCAGGAAATAAATTGATCTGACAGAGGGGATTAAACTGAGAGCAGGAAGACAGACCCCTCCCACTTCATCCCCTTTTTTAAAGCAAATGCTTCAGGGTCAGGAAGAAAAGAAGAAAGGGAAGCAAGTTAATATTTCCACTTGGAAAAGGTGTGGATGGGGTCATTGTAAACTGAATCTATGAATGCCCCAAAGAGCAGGACTTGGCTGTCCTTTCGAAAATTTAGGATGAAGTTTAAGTCTTAATTTATTAAGGGAATGATAAGCCAAAGAAAAGATAACTAGCTGCCATTTAATGAGCACATACTATGTGCCAAGCACTTCATATATTGGATTAGCCAAAACGTTCATTTGCTTTTTTCCGTAAGATGACTCTAGTAGCACTTAGTTGTCTTTAACTTCATTCGAAACAATTTTGTTAGATTGTATGTGACAGCTGTCATATCAGCGTTCATTTAGAAAAAGACATCAAAATTGGTGAATTTTTATGTAGCCATTTGCATACTGAAGATGGGAAAAAAAGCAACATTTTTGGCATATTATGCTTTATTATTTCAAGAAAGATAAAAACGCAGCTGAAACATAAAAAAAAAGATTTGTGCAGTGTATGGAGAAGGAGCTGTGACTGATCGAACGTGTCAAAAGTGGTTTGTAAAGTTTTGTGCTGGAGGGACTTCCCTGGTGGTGCAGTGGTTAAGAATCCACCTGCCAATGCAGGGGACATGGATTCCATCCCTGGTCCGGGAAGATCCCACATGCTGTGGAGCAACTAAGCCCACGCGCCACAACTACTGAGCCTGCGCTCTAGAGCCTGTGAGCCAAAACTACTGAGCCCATGAGCCACAATTACTGAAGCCCGTGCACCGAGAGCCCACGCTCCGCAACAAGAAAAGCCACCGCAATGAGAAGCCCGCGCACCGAAACAAAGAGTAGCCCCTGCTTTCCGCAACTAGAGAAAGCCCGCGTGCAGCAACGAAGACCCAACACAGTCCAAAATAAATAAATAAATACATTTATTTAAAAAAAGAAAATTTCGTCCTGGAGCTTTCTCTCTGGACGATGGTCCACGGTCGGGTAGACCAGCTGAAGTTGATAGAGATCAAATCAAGATGTTAAATCAATGTTATACCACGTGGGAGAGAGCCAACATACTCAGAATATCCCAATCAAGCATTGAAAATCATTTGCACCAGCTTGGTTATGTTCATCACTTTGATGTTTGGGTTCCACATAAGTTAAGCGAAAAAAACTTCTTGACCTTATTTCCGCATGCAATTCTCTACTTAAACGTAAAGAAAATGTTCGGTTTTTAAAATAAATTGTGATGGGCGATGAAAAGTGGATACTGTACAGTAATGTGCAACGGAAGAGATCGTGGGGCAAGTGAAATAAACCACCACCAATCACACCAAAGGCCGGTCTTCATCCAAAGAAGGTGATGTTGTGTGTATGGTGGGATTGGAAGGGAGTCCATTATTATGAGCTCCTTCCGGAAAACCAAACGATTAATTCCAACAAGTACCACTCCCAATTAGACCAGCTGAAAGCGGCACTCGACGAAAAGCGTCCAGAATTAGTCAACAGAAAACACATAATCTTCCATCAAGATAACACAAGACCACTTGTTTACTTGATGACCAGGCAAAAACTGTTACAGCTTGCCTGGGAAGTTCTGATTCATCCGCTGTATTCACCAGACATTGCACCTTCAGATTTCCATTTATTTCGGTCTTTACAAAATTCCCTTAATGGTATAAATTTCAATTCCCTGGAAGACTGTAAGAGCACCTGGAAAAGTTCTTTGCTCAAAAAGATTAAAAGTTTTGGGAAGATGGAACTATGAAGTTGCCTGAAAAATGGTAGAAGGTAGTGGAACAAAAGGGTGAACATGTTGTTCAGTAAAGTTCTTGGTGAAAATGAAAAATGTGTCGTTTATTTTTACTTAAAAACCAAAGGCACATTTTGTAGAGAAATGCAAATCAAAACTACAATGAGATATCATCTCACACCAGTCAGAATGGCCATCACCAAAAAAATCTAGAAACAATAAATGCTGGAGAGGGTATGGAGAAAAGGGAACCCTCTTGCACTGTTGGTGGGAATGTAAATTGATACAGCCACTGTGGAGAACAGTATGGAGGTTCCTTAAAAAACTACAAATAGAACTACCATATGACCCAGCAATCCCACTACTGGGCATATACCCTGAGAAAACCATAATTCAAAAAGAGTCATGTACCAAAATGTTCATTGCAGCTCTATTTACAATAGCCCAGAGATGGAAACAACCTAAGTGTCCATCATCGGATGAATGGATAAAGAAGATGTGGCACATATATACAATGGAATATTCCTCAGCCATAAAAAGAAATGAAATTGAGCTATTTGTAATGAGGTGGATAGACCTAGAGTCTGTCATACAGAGTGAAGTAAGTCAGAAAGAGAGAGACAAATACCGTATGCTAACACATATATATGGAATTTAAGAAAAAAAATGTCATGAAAAACCTAGGGGTGAAACAGGAATAAAGACACAGACTTACTAGAGAATGGACTTGAGGCTATGGGGAGGCGGAAGGGTAAGCTGTGACAAAGCAAGAGAGAGGCATGGACATATATACACTACCAAACGTAAGGTAGATAGCTAGTGGGAAGCAGCCGCATAGCACAGGGAGATCAGCTCGGTGCTTTGTGACCGCCTGGAGGGGTGGGACAGGGAGGGTGGAAGGGAGGGAGACACAAGAGGGAAGAGATATGGGAACATATGTATATGTATAGCTGATTCATTTTGTTGTGAAGCTGAAGCTAACACACCATTGTAAAGCAATTATACTCCAATAAAGATGTTAAAATAAAAAAAAAAAAAACTAGCTAGGGATACCATAGGTTTTAGCTATACAGTTTCAGAAAATAAATAAATAAATAAATAAATAAATAAATGATGAACAAAGTTATGAAAAAAGGGTTGAACACAATGAAAGTGGCAAAGTAATCAAAGTACTATGCACAGAACATCGTAATAAAAGATATGGCGTCAACATAATAAGGCAGAGATCATCGGAAACATGCAAGAAGGCATCCGCTGAGTGCTCGGACAATTTGCATTACTAAACCTCTACCTGCAACAACTGGCCACCTGCCTACTTTGCCAGGGCTGAATTTGTTTATAAAAAGCCACTGACTTCTCCTTCCAGCAAACTCCACTTCTCTCTGCCCAGCCACTTCCCTGAATCTCCCCATACCCGAGCAATCTACGGGCCACCCACCAGAACATTTAAGACATTTGCTAGCAAGCAAAGGACAAGCACAAAAAGCCTGACCACCTGCAGAGGGCTACAGTGGTGTGTGTGTGTAGGAATTTCCACAGGAAGTCCCCTTCCTCTCTTCACCAGTACATCCACACCTCCTGTCTATGCCTAAGATCCGTCATGCAGTGCAGCACGGCCAAAAAAATTTTTAAAAAATTAATAAAGTGAATAGAATCTGAAAAACAAAACAAAATAAAACAAAACCAAAGGCACATTTTGGCCAACCCAATATTTTAATTACTCCCTGGTGTTACACAATAGTAAAGAACATGAGCCCTGGAGATAAAAACAGGCCTTATGTTGAATTCAGGCTCCACCACCTTGTAACTTTATGACCACGGGCAAGTATGTAAATTTTCTACCCTGGGGTTACTCACCTGTGTAGTATATTATGGATAGTAATAGCACTACCTCATCGGTGGTGTGAGGATTAAATGAGATAGTGCACAGAAGCTCTTGGCACCCAGCTTGATATAAGGTAAGCCCTCAATAGATGCTGGTTACTATTCTTAGATATGGCGGTATGTACTATCTCTGTCTCACAAAATAAGAAGCTGGAGTAGACCAAGATGACAGCCGTTGTCCAGCTCCCAGGGCGATTTCAAAACAGTTCACTTCCAAGCCTATCCTCACCTGCAAGGAAAGTAAAATAGGATTGGCCCCATCCTTAGAGGCTGATGGTCATGATTCAGACAGGCACCGCATCAGAGAGGATGCAGGTTGTGGAGGATCATGGGAGTGATACCAGGAGGAGGGTCCCATCCTCTTGAGTTTTATTCTTGATGGGTTCGGTTTGAAAGGAGCTGTGGGAGAGACTTTTCAGGGGCGGGAAGGGACCCCAGAGGCCCCCTACCTGGTCTGGGCAGCCTTCTGGACAGAGCAGAAAGAGCAGACGGTGGCCGCTGGGAGCTTTAACCTCAACAACACTTCCCAGAGGCCGGAATCTCCGTGAGAAAGCAGAATTCTGTAATCACACGCCCAGCAACGCCAAGCCCCACGGACTCAGCTGGCCTGAGTTCGGCAAACCTACCACAGTCAAGACACTTACCCTGCAAAGCAGTCTGATTGGAGCCTTTCAGAGTGATGACGAGCTGCCGCCCATCCCAGAAATCCCTTCTGGCCGTTATCATCTCCTTCACGGCCTCAGCATACAGCAGGACTGCATCGTGAAAGTAAGCAGGGTAACGGCTCACCTTGGATGAGGGAAGCAAAGGCCGGGTAGAAAACAGGCCCATGGTGGTACTGAACTCTCTTAGCTTTTACTTGTCTGTGAAGCTCTTGATTTCTCCGTCAATAAAAATTAATTAATTTCTAAAAAGATAAAAAAAAAAAAAAGCCCATGGCCTGCTACATCACAGTCCGGGCTCAGTTAGAAGCAAGCTTTCTCCATCCTCTTAACAGTGTAACATAGCACACATTCTCCATTATTCCACAGAGAAAGGAGGACCCTCCACGTATCCTGGCCTGTGCTGGTATACCTAGGTATCACAACTGCACTTTTCCTCTTTAGGCCTTGTTTTCTCAATTAGATTGCATGATCTTTCAGGTTGTGAACAGCTTTTTAGGCCATAGGCAGGAGGGAATATGGTTTAATTGAAAGAGGGTGGATCTTGGAGTCAGGCTGGCCCTGGTACTTACTGTGAGACTTGGGGTAAGTTCCAGAACCTCTCTGAATCTCTCTGAATCTCGGCTCATTCATTTATAAAATGCGGATAAAGCCACTATTGTGGTGAGTATAAGGATAGTTAAATGAGGCGGAATAGGTATAGTATCTATTGTACTAACTGGCACATAGTAGGTCTTCAATACTTCATTTAGTCAACAAAAATGCATGTGCCTACTAGGCGCTAGGCACTGTTCTCCCCATAGAACCAGGTACAGAGCTGACACTTAGGAGATGACTCCCCAAATATTCATTGATCCACCATCTTTCCTTGTGTGTTGGGATCCACAGTCAGCTGCCTCATTCCTAATGGAACCCTTGTCATCAGTAGCTCCTCTTCGCCTTCAGGCTCAGCTTGGCCCCGCTGTGGCAGGAGCTCCAGATCTGGCCTATGGTCTAGTTAATCAGACATTTTGCCCCATCATCCCACACATACTGGAACTACCACTGGCTGATAGGCTCTCTCCCGGCTGCCTTCTCAGAACATCTGCTTGCCTTGACCTGCCCTAGCTCCACATCTCTGACTACTCCATTCTGGTTCCTGGTCATGGCATCCTGCTGGGAAAGGAGACTGTCATGGTCTGAGCGCCCACTGGTATCTGTTCTGAACTATCTGTTCATAGTACTTCCATGTACTATGTCATTAGATACTCAAGACCACAGTCTGGAAGGCAGATGTCATTATCAGTCCCATTTTTGGGTGAAGAGACTGAGGTGTAGGGAGGTTAAACAATTCACCTCAATGTCCCGTAGGTAGTAAATAGCAGAATTAGGATGGAAGTCCAGGACTCTGACTCCAAAGGCCAACCGATCACTCATCTAGTAACCTCTGTCCTCCGTGTGGACCTGGGGTGCAGATTTCACAAGATCTCATCGGGCCACTGTTGATTTGGGGCTGTGGAAGATGAAGAAGTGTGTGTGTGTGCATGCATGTGTGTGTGTGTGTGTGTGTGTCTGTGTCTGTGTTAGGAGCCTGGGGAGTGGCGAAACACAGATATTCTCAAGGAAGGGAGGAGGGACCTGTGTAGGAAGACGCCCATCAGACCTGCTCCAGCATGTGGAGGGGGCCGTGGAAGGGCGGCCCCCACAGCCTTCGGAGGGCCAGCTCTCGGAAGCCTTCATCTCCAGGGCCTTCTCGCGAGGAGCTGAGGGCTGAGAATCACTGACCTGTAGAACGAGGGAAAGTGCATTACCTTCTGGTTTGTCAATACCTCCTTCCAAAAACTGTCCTGAAAAATAAAGAAATAAATGTAGCCATTCTGTAGGAAATACCCTAAGCAATAGTCAACATCAACTTTATTTATTTATTTATTTATTTATTTTTGGCTACGTTGGGTCTTCATTGCCACGTGCCGGCTTCCTCTAGTTGCCATGAGCAGGGGCTACTCTTCGTTGCTGTGCACGGGCTTCTCGTTGCGGTGGCTTCTCTTGTTGTGGAGCACGGGCTCTAGGCCCGTGGGCTTCAGTAGTTGTGGCGCCTGGGCTTAGTTGTTCCGCGGCATGTGGGATCTTCCTGGACCAGGGATCGAACCCATGACCCCAGCAATGGCAGGCAGATTCTTAACCACTGCGCCACCAGGGAAGTCCCCAACATCAAATGTGAATTTTTATTCTAATCCTTGGAAACACAATGGCTCTGGAAGACTTGCCATGTAAAGTTTATGTTTTCTAGTTAGCTTCGAAGCAGTGGGAAGGAAGCCAAAAAAATCAATCAATAAATAAGAAAAGATTACTTGGGGCATCGAGCAACTAATATGCAGAAAGCTTACCTTTTAACAATGGGCAGCAAAAACTTGAAAAACTTACAACTGTCGATTCTCAAATTTCTGCTTGTGGCTTAAGTCATTTGTTATTATCATTATTACCTACATTATTATTATTATTATTATTATTATGAAAGTAACACCCACTCATTGTGTGTATATATGTGAAAGACGGTAAGATCTTCCCCAATTTCCCTACAGCTCCCTCTTATCTCCTCTGAGAGGTATCCGAATGTTCTAGACGTGTACAGAAGTGTGTGTGAGCGTATGTGCATTTTACATAAATAGTATCATGCTATAATGGTATTCTGCAACTTGATTTTTGCCAACTTCAGCCTATATTGGGAAGACTTTTAGGGAATGGATTTATGCTATTCTTTTTTTAAAGCAGCATGAATTCACTTTCATGGACGTCGTGTGGTCTATTTTTAGTCCTATATTCTTTCTGCATTTCCAGCCAATTGGAATTTGATTATCAAGGTTTGGGGAGAACGTGACGAGGGGGTTGGCAGGGCTTCCCTGCTGATCCTGAGACTTGGTGCATCCTCTCCCCTTCTCGTCTGTCTGCAGGCAGAGGTGAGAGGACAAGTAAAGAGAAAGGGGGTGGATGGCAATGCAAAGGGAAGGTAGGAGGAGGTTCTGGAAAGCTTGGCTTACGATTAGAATTCCAACTGGCTGCCCAACGAAACCTGAGACACTTTTGGCAATCTGAAATACTTAATGATAAAAAGATAAAAGAAACCTGGAGCATTATTATGCATCTTCCTGTACTCCGTTTCGCCCCATTTCAACTTCTTATGATCATATAAAACAAGCTCATTTTAGAAAGAGAAAACTGCTGGAAAAATTACACAGTGTGTCCATAGCTAAATATCAATACAAGGGGCTTTATTTTAGAAGCCTGTTGGTGTTGTGTGGTGGTTAAATGTACAGACACTGAGGCCAGCCTACCTGGTTTGACTACTAGGTCTCCCTCATACTAGTCGTGTGGCCTTGGTTAAGTTATTTCACCTCTCAAGACCTCGGTTTTCTCATCTGTAAAATGAGGAAAATGAAAGTATCTCCCCTTAGGGTGGTGTGAGCTGAAATGAGTGTTAGTTTATCAAGTGCTCACAGTGGGGCCTGGCACTCAGTACACACTCCACAAGGCAGAGCTGTTGGGGTCAAGGGCTCAGTCCCAGAGTCCAAAAGACCAGCTTAGGAGGTCCAAGATCTTGGATAAGCTACCCTATTTCTCTAAGCCTCAATTTTTTCATCTGTGAGTTGGAATGCTAATAATCTGTACCTTATAAGGCTGTTGGAAATATTGAATGCAATGATGCATGTAAACAATGCATGGACTCTCTATCTGCCTCACGGGGCTGTTGGGAAAATCTAGTGCACCGATGCAGGTATAATGTATAACTCGGTACTCATGGGAGGTACGTGGTACATGTCAGCCATCCCTATCGTTACCAAAGGAACCAAACCACCTACAGATTGCCTCATTAGACCAGAGTGTTGGTTTCTCCAGGTCATTGTTGGGGCTCAAACACAGGTGACCATGGAAGAAAAGAAAGTGAAAGCCACTGAGTTTGAGAGCCTTTGGGGAGGTCTCAGCCACCCGGGAGGAGTGACGGTTTTTCCTCAGCTGGTGTTTGCTGATGTAGACTACAGAGGACCAGGCTCCAGAACCAGCAGCCTGGTTCAAGGCCCGGGTCCCCGTCCCAGGAACTGTGCAAACGAACTCTGGGTAGGTTCTTTCAATTCAGTCTCAGTCTCTTGATCTTAAGTTGAGGACACAAGAGTAGCTGCCTCCTAGGGTTGAGTATTCAGTGAGCTAATGCATCTGGCACGTAGCAAGTGCTGCATGCTTGTTACCTCTTCCTGCGGGAGCCGTTGAGTCTCATCAGCACCCGCCTCCAGCTGCTGCGAATGATAAAGACGAATTCTCCTGTGTGGAGTCCCAGGTTCTCTGCAGCCGGCAGGATAAGTTTTGCATCTTCTGAGTTACAGATTAAGATAAGAACTGTAAGAGAAGACAGCCAGCCAGTTGCACATGTGTACATACACACACACACAGATATACACGTTTTAAAGTCTAGCCTAAAACCACTAGAAATGAGACATGAACTTTGTCTTTTCTTGAGCATGCTTTAGGAAATAGGAAGGTCTAAACTGTTCCCGGAGCGTGTCCTTCTTTAACCATGCCGGTAGCATACAAACTGGCAGCTTTCGTCTTGCGGAACTAAGGTCTTCGCTGCAGCTCTCTCCCAAAGCACGAATCGAGAAAGTTTGAGACCACTTCTGTGCTCTAGTTTCTTCGTTTAACTGACTCAGAGCAATAGATCTGGCTTGTGACTCATCATCAGGTAGGTTGCGTTGACGGAGGACCTAGAACCAGGAGCATTGAGACTGTCTGAGATGGGGTGGGGGGAAAAGGAGTAGGCCATGGTATTTTTCTTCCATCCAAACACATCAGCATGCTTTTTGAGGGAACAAAAATGAAATATTGATTTATTGTTATGTATTTATTTTTAAATTGGAGCATGCTTTTTTTTTGCTTCAGAATTTTTCTTTTTAATTGAGGTATGATAGATTTACAGTGTTGTGTTAGTTTCAGGTGTACAGCAAAGTGATTCAGATATAGATATACATATATATATATATATATATACACACACACATATATATATTCTTTTTCAGATTCTTTTCCCTTATAGGTTGTTAAAAATACTGAGTATAGTTCCCTGTGCTATACAATAGGTCCTTGTTGGTTATCTATTTTAGTGATTTATTTATTTATTTTTAATAAATTTATTTATTAAATTTTGGCTGCACTGGGTCTTCGTTGCTGCTCTGGGGCTTTTCTCTAGTTGCGGTGAGCGGGGGCTACTCTTCGTTGTGGTGCGCGGGCTTCTCATTGCAGTGGCTTCTCTTGTTGTGGAGCAGGGGCTCTAGGCGCACGGGCTTCAGTAGTTGTGGCGCACTTGGGCTCAGTAGTCGTGGCTCACAGACTCTAGAGCGCAGGCTCAGTAGTTGTGGCGCATGGGCTGAGTTGCTCCGTGGCATGTGGCATCTTCCCAGACCAGGGCTTGAACCTGTGTCCCCTGCACTGGCAGGTGGGTTCTTAACTGCTGCGCCACCAGGGAAGTCCTTAGTGACTTATTTTTTAAATGAGATAAACTTTAATCTATTTACCTGAGCTCGAGCTAGGTGCCAGGCAATGCACTAAGCATAGGATACAACAGTGAGCAAAAGAGAAGGTCCTTGTTCTCAGGGAGCTGACATTAAGACAGACGATATACAAGTGAAGAGATTAGAGAGATCGTTCAAGATTCTGATGAATGAAGGGGGAAAAGAATGCTGTGATACTAATGTGGGGAGGGGGAATTGCTCCATGTCAAGTAGTTGGGAAAGGCCCCTCAGAGGAGATGGGATGGGCTCTGGGCTGAGTCTGGAAGGATGAGAGCAAGCTACCTATGGAAAGAACACTGGGTGGGATGAGGTGGGATTGCAGTGGAACTCCAGGCCAAGGGATACCAAGTCCCAAAGTCCCAAAGCCAGAAGGAGCTTGGTTTATTGGAAGAAGAGAAAGGAGTCCGCTACTAATTCTTGCTAGAAAGTAGAGCCTTAGAGGCACCACCACAACAATATTCACTATGGCGTGTTGATCAGTTACTATGTCCAGCACTTTACAGGCATGATCTTATTTAATCCTCACCGTTCTATGAGGTAGGTAAGATGATTGTCTTTGTTTTACAGATAAGGTACCTGAGGCACAGAGAGGTTAAGCTACTTGCTCAAGAACACACAGCTAGAAAGTGTCAGAGGCGGGTTTCAAACCTAGGGATGTCTGTCTCCAGAGCCCATTCTCTGAACGAACATCCAAGTCCAAGACCCAGCCCACCTAGCAGGTGCTTCCAGAAATTACTCTGTACATCATGACACTATAGCTCGAAGATTTCACTCTAGACAAAAAAAAAGTTTTTGTTGGTTGGTAATGCTTTTATGTATCCTTAATTTTATACTCTGTTTTCATCTGCTTTTTACCCTCATAGAAAAATGAAAAATTCTTAGTTTTTTTTTTTCAATCATTTTTTTCTATTTGCCCCTCTAAACATAAGCAACAGAAGATTCTTTCCTACTTAGCCCTGGAAATCAATGACAGGCTCCTAAGATTCTCTTGAAGGAAGGCTGGATTGTTGTTGGTGTATTTCATGCTGGCGGGGATGGTGAAATGGGATTTGAGTTCATTCCCTACAACCCTCCACAACTCATCCACTCCATCTCAGGAGGAGGTCCCAGAGTGACCTCCAAACATCCCAGTGTGTTTCCAGCCCAGGTACTGGAGGCTTTTCTGGAGCACATCACCAACCCTGTGCATGCGTGGCACAGGTTTCACATAGGTGTCATACAAGAAGTTGTTCTCCAGTTTTGCTGTTTGTCCAACAAAGTCAAACATGGGGAAGCCAGCAAACCAATAACCTTGGAAGTAACCAAAGGGATGTCTTTCCATAACTGAGTTTTGCTACACTCCAACCCCATTGTAGAATATCTGCATAAGCCTTGGATTCAGTGAGTCTGTGGGTCATACTTCCCCTCTCTTTTGGAATATCGATGATAACGTCTTGGATCCAACTTAAGGATGCAAAGCCTCAGAGCACAAGAGTAACAATAGCCAGCATTTATTTAGTGATTACTACGTGCCAAGCACTCGACTAAGAGCTTACATATATTATCTCAATTCTTATATTTTCTATCAGGTAGGTATTATCATCTCATCTTAGAGATGAAAACATCGGGGCACAGAAATGTATTAATAAGTTCCAAAACTAGCAAATCGTGGAGCAGGCTTGGAATTCAGGTAGTGTGGTTACAGAGTGCACACTCATAGGTACTACTCACTTTTTCTTAATTTGTTCCTTATTCATTTTCCACTAGGAGCCTGCTATTTACAGGGAACTTCAGAGACCTTCCTCTTAAAAAGATCTTGTGATCAACTATTACAGGAGTTAAGACGTGTAAAAACAGCTGTAGAGTTAAATATGCCCTTCAATATTTATAGACAATAGATTTAGAGGAGCTTACAGAAGTAAGAAATTACTTCTGATTTGGGAATTAGAGATGGGAACGATGAGGGTAGAGGGATAAAGAAACGCTCCGTGGCATTTGAGCTTGACTTTGAAGAATGGGTAGGCCTTGTTAATCAAATGGGGAATGTGTCAAATGGGGAATTCTAGGAGACACAGATTCAAATTCAAATCTTAACTCTGTAGCACCCACTAATGATAGTACTGCGGTATTTTTGACCGTGAGAACTGTGCTGCCTCATCTATTCAGCCTTTGCATCTATACCTCTCAGAGCACAAGATACCCAAGGACATCAACAAAGCTAATCTCATTAGCTAAACAAACACAAATCATTCACATCTCTCATTTTCTTGCCTTAGCTTATGGCAATCTGTCATACTTCATCCTTTCCCTCTTTCTTTCCCATCACGGAATAATTTATTATACATGCCAAAGGGAAACCTACACAAACAGATGTTATTTTTCTATTTAAAGCCAAGCATTCAATTTCTTCTTAATTTTTCTGAGCCACGTGGCTGGCAATGTTAGAGTGAATGATGAGTTCGTATCCAACAGCACCAAGGCCAAGCAATCAACAAGTTTGTTAGTCAACATCAAGTTAGTGGGCGAACTAACAACTATTGATTTGAGAGGCTTTCTTTAAAGAGAGTATTCATTGTTCTAATTTCATGGTCCAATTACATCTCAAAGAAATGGTACACAACACTTATACAGTTATTATTTATAATAATGTCATCCAAGTCAAGAGATTATTCAAGTCTATACCATCATCTTTAAGACCACCCTTTCCAATGGAAACTCAGAGTTTCTTAGAAGGCTGTATACTCTACCTCTGCTGCTTCTGGGCATGCTGGTCCAAACAGGGCAGAAATTTCTTCTTTCTGGACCTGGTTGATGAAAAGAGCAAGAGACTCCTTGGCGCTGCAGGTTGAGTTGGTGTAAGTAAACTCCCAGCTGAAACTTCCGAAGTCTGCCAGCTCAGAGTTGATCTTGTCCATGGCAATCTGGAGTCTGGCACCCAGCCTCTGCACATTGAATGGATGAGAGATGTTCCAGGGGGCCTGGAACCCCCCAGTGAGTTTAGCAGCCTCAAGCCACATCACCAGGACACTGACAAAGAGCATCAGAACTAAGGTTGGGTGGCCAGCTTGGCATTCAACCCCCAAACAGGGCCCAGGTCCGAGTGGGGCCTCAGCACCTGTCCTGGGAGCCATGGATGGAGTCTAACACCTGGATCACTGCAGAACCCTGAGAGGCTTAGCCTCCTGACCACCTGTGCCCAGAGCTTAAATGATAGTGCGCAGTTCCCTGAGGACCACAGCTTGCTTTCTCTTCAGTGCTGTTAACTAACCGAAACCTTCCCTTTCCAGAGTCTGTCCTAACACATCTATAAGCAGAAATCTGTGGAAGGAGGCTGGGACAGGGAGCCAGCAAGGCCCTGGTAATTGATCCAGTGGCACCACTGTCAAACTCCATGGTCCTTGGCAAGCCACATAACCCCCACTCCCTCTCCACCCCCCAGATCCCTCTCCACTAGTAAAATAAGAATCATGGGAACCACTCAAGTGTAGACAGATGGCCTAGGCTGGAATTCTGACTCCATCGCGTATTAGTGGTGTAACCTAGGACACGTTACTTTCCCTCTCTATTTTTCCCTCTCTAATTTTTTTCAAAAACTAGGCACAACCCCCATGTTCAATAGTAGGGGCCTAGATGAGTAACGTGGAGTGAATCCATGTGACTGAGGAGGGTAGTCATTAAAAATGATATATTAAATGTGCACGTACTGGCTTAGAAAAATAGTCACAATTATTAAGGGAGGAGGCACACTTTCAAACGACATGAATAGTATTCCATTTTTTGTTGTGTTTTTAAAAAGCACATAAAGTTGCATAACAAACATTATACACACCAAACGAATAAAAACTCTGGGCGATAGGAGTTATGGGTGTTTTTTCTTCTCTGCTTAATTCTCATATTTTTATCTTCATGTCTTCGCAATAAGGAAGAAAAGTGAAAGTTTTAATTGAAAATAAACCCTACAGACTTGTATTTGCAGAGTGAAATCACAGGGAGTTAAACTCACGCTGTCTGAATTCCTGGGTCAGGAGCACGTCACGTTGGTCTGGACCCTCACACTTCTATGCACTTGGCTCATTCTCTGCTGAACTAAGCCCCTTCCAAGTCTCCACTGCCCTCACAGGGAGAGGGAGACAGAGATGCAGGTGGCCTAGGTAATGGCGATCATCGTCTGGAAACCATTGCCATGGTAACAGGCCCACCCACTTTGTACGAAGTGCTTGATTGGCAGGAGTGGCAAGGCCTGAGGTTAAAACCAGCGAGATTGGTAGGGACTGTGGCTGCTGGAGGGGGCACACTGTTCTCCACTTTGCTTCTCCAGCCCTGCTCTCTTCTAGGAGATTCTTATGCCTGCAAGTTACCAGTGGTGGTAGATGGGGGAGGCCATGTTGTTTTATTCCACCATGTTTTGGAACAAAAGTAATCTGTGCTTGGCCCCCAGAGATGCAGAGCTTGGTTCCCTATGTTAGCATTTTGATTCCTAGATATGTTACCTCATCTCTGTTTCCTGAAAAGATTATTACAGAGGGAGGATTCTCTTTTCCTAATTTATAGGGTCCTCACTGCTGACCAGCGGGGCCATAAATCAGATATAGGGCCAGCTGTCCAGCATACAAAACCAGATGAGATTAGCTGTATCCAGGGTGATGGGACTAGCTTTTTTCTACCTGTCCTTCCTCCCCTCCCGTTTGCCCCTCCCTCCCTTCAATTTGTAAATCTGTGGACTCATCAGGTTTAGAGAAAATGGAAAGGTTTGAAATGATGTGGGTTGGAACTTCTCCAGAAGGTGAGCAAGAGAAACAGGTGTTTGGCTCACTTGGAATACAATAAAGTCAGGCTGGAGCTTCCCACCTGGAGGGAAAGACCAAGGGAGAGGCAGCCATCACTTCTGCCCTCACTCTTTCTCCCCCCTCACGGTGTGTTCTGGGAAGAGGCAACACCCTCAGGCTTCCAGAGTCTATAAGACTGCATCTGAGCCTCCGTTTTCTGATCTGTGAAGTGGGCAGAGGGAATGGCAGAGGGCTGAGACTTCTGACCTTACCAGCTTCTTGCCCTAAAACCCTAGGACCCTGGTGGATTCATAACTAACCAAGTACTCCATGCTCGGTGATGGCTGCAGTTTCTTTCCAGGTCTTGCTTACAGGTTCCTAAAGGGAGCATTCCTGAAGGTCTAGCATACCTTGTACCAACCATCCTACAAGTAAGCGCAAGTCAAAAGTGGCTATTACCTACCGGGGTACGAACTTCAAACTTCCCTCTTATGTCCTCAGCACTTGCCAATAGTTGTGATGCAGTCAAGTAAAAAGAATCTCCTGGTAAGTAAATGTCTAAAGAGCCGTAGGAGAGCGGAGTAAAGGTTGAACTTGCGTAAAGGGGAGATTGTGTTTCTTAGATCTGCAACAAAAGGCAATTCCTTGAATCCAAAAGCCACTCCTTTAGGTAACTGTGCGCAGACTACTCCCAGAAAGCCGAGGATGGGGCACCGGCCTTGGCTTCCTGATGAGGACATGCTGATTGTTTCTGAAAAGGTTGATGTGAGGGAGGAGAATCCTCCCCCCTGGGGACGCTGCCTGTCTCATCTGTACTTCAAACTCTCGCTATTCGTCCTGTGCTACTGAAATAGACTCTTCCTCTGGCCTGTAATGTGTTGCTCTTTCTCGTGCCCATTTTTACCGGGAATGGGTTTTTGATGCCTGAGTAGTTGCTTTTGACAACCTGGAGCTTCTAATCAATACTTTCAAGTTTTCTTCTGGCTACAGATCTAATCGGAAGTTCAGCAGATTGATCCAGCCTAAATGCCAGATTTCCGATCTGAAGATTTATTCTGTGTTTTTTGATTCTGCCTCCCAGATTACTGTCCCCAACCCCTAATTAGTCTTAGCATGAAGAGCAAAACCTTCTAGAAACTAGTAGGGAGGAGGGGCAGCTATCTGCTCAGTAATCAAGATACTAAATATTTAGCAGTGATGGAATGACTTTCCATAAAATTTTAAGTGTTCCAAGAACACCTTTGTTGTCACAGTGTCCAAACACTGAGCAAATAAAGAATGTGTCCTTGCCTTAATGCATCTTCCTCTGGGGCTTATACACTTTTGACCCATTAAAAGGACATGCTTCTCCATCCAAGCCAATAGGAGACCTGGGTAGCACCAGGCTTGTCATCTGGTGGCGTCTCTCTGGTGCGTAGCTATATAAAGCCAGGCAGGATGTCCCTCTGGCTCCTCCACCCTTTTCAGCTTCTGGTCTACAGAGACCAGTACCCTCCCACTTCCTGGCGTTTCCGCTCTGCTCGTGTTAAAAGCTCCCAAATTGCTCCCTAGCCAGGCACTCAGTGATGTTCCCCCATGTTGCGAGCCCAGGGAACCGAGGCTGCAAAGCAGAGGACAATGTCCTTAAAGGCTTGGCAAGGGGGGAGGTGTGAGCGTGGCACCCCCAAAGTACTGATGCTCCTGTCTGAAATTTCTCCCACACTCCCCTGTAAGAGGCAGCGTAGCAGAAGGGTGGGGCGCACGGATTTGGAATGAGACTGAAGCTGTGGCTGGGACAAGTTTTCACACAGCGTAGTGCCTGGCCCAGAACAACAGTCAGTGAACAGTAGCAGCTCTATAATAAGGAACTATTGCTTCCGTCAAGAAGATCTTAACCTCTGTTGAATGGAGGTATGTAAACCCAAAGGAACAAACTGTTACTGCTACAGAACCCAGAGGAACAGGTCAAAGACCTCATTGTTTTCAAGTTCACCCAGAGCAGTTATAACATGCTGACACTGGGTAACACCACCTTTCACGTGTGTCCTATAGGCATTAAGACAGAGGATCTTTGGTCTAAATCAGTGTTGTCCATGAAAAATAGAGTGTGAGCCACTTAGGTAATGTTAAAATTCCCGGCAGACAGATTTGAAGATTAAAAGAAACAAGTAGAAATACTTAGCTAGTTTATCTGAAATATTATCATTTCAACATGTAATCCATATTTTAAAAATTGAGAGTTTATGTTATTTTCTTCATACTAAGTCTCCAAAATTTGGCATGTGCTTTTTTTCTGTTTTTTGTTTTGTTTTGTTTTGCAGTACGCGGGCCTCTCACTGGTGTGGCCTCTCCCGTTGCGGAGCACAGGCTCCGGACGCGCAGGCTCAGCGGCCATGGCTCACGGGCCCAGCCGCTCCGCAGCACATGGGATCTTCCCGGACCGGGGCACGAACCCGTGTCCCCTGCATCGGCAGTCGGACTCTCAACCACTGCGCCACCAGGGAAGCCCTGGCTTGTGTTTTGTACTTAAACAAGTCTTAGTGCAGACTTTCTTCATTTCAAGTGCTCATTTGCTACATGTAGCTACTGGTCACAGTATTGGACAGCGTACGTCTAAATCTTTGCTCTGAGCTACGCTTCTAACCAGCTGGGAAATAGTGATGTTTCCTATGGGGTTGTTGAAAGTTCTGGGAATTTAGAGCTGCCGCCTCTCTGAGGACCTTCACCCTTTCCATCTGATTCTTAAATGTTCTTGGGATGCTCTTGCTGATAAAGGTGCAAGTTGCCTGTGTCGCTGCGTTGCAACCTCGTTGACATCGTGACCCTGAGAATAATAGTATTTATACGACACACCGAATGCCCTAGGTGGGGCTGGCCGTGCGCACACCCAGCACTGTGAGGGCTGAGGCATCAGTATGTCTTGGCCCACCAGTGTCCCATGGCTCGCCAGTTGGGAAGCTCAGGTCCAAGCCTGCAAGGCAATCTGTGCTATGAGTGTTATCTGGGGGAGGGGAGGCACAGGGGGAGTATCTGGGATTGGGGGAAGCTGTTTATTGCAATCTGTGCAAACACCATTCTTGTCAATCAAGTGCTCATGCTTAAGTAGCACTTCCTTCCCACAAAGAATGAGCAAGTGGCCTCAAGAGCTCAGGTGCCCAAGCTGTTTACTGTCAGCGGCCCGAGTTGAGCAAAACAAGCTGCTCCAGACACTGAGCTGTGGGGTCAGCTTCTCCCGTGTGGCTAACACGGGGGCCTAGAATAGCACAGTGGCCGCTCCCAGCACAGCAGACAACAAAGCAGAAAGAGCTGGGGATCGCACAGCTGAAAGATGCGGTACACTGCCCCCCGCCCCCCAGCCCGCCTTCAACTGCGGGAAGCAAGGCTCT